TCCTCCTCCCCCTCCCCCTGCTGCTGCTGCTGCTGCTGCTGCTGCTGCTGCTGCTGCTGCTGCTGCTGCTGCTGCTGCGGAATGTGTGCAGCACGTTGGAGGCCTTGGGCATCGCAGGCAACGAGTTTGACGACAGATATTTTTCAGAGTTTTTATCGACGCCTGTGCACTTCATGCGGTGTACACCCCTTGTATTAGATATTACACTTAAAGATATAAACGGCTACAAACAAACAACTCGAGACACCCGATTTGCTGCATTTAGACAAACTGCTACGCAGCAAATTGAACATATATAATACGACGTATATATACTCTCGTACTAGTGCTGCTCCTGCTGCTGCTGCTTGTGCTGCTCCTGCTGCTGCTGCTGTTGCTAGTCGTGCTGCTGCTGCTGCTGCTAGTGGTGCTGCTGCTGCTAGTGTTGCTGCTGCTGCTAGTGTTGTTGCTGCTTTGGCTGGTGCTGACTTTTCTGCTACACATACTCCTGCTGCTGCTGCTGTTGCTGCTGCTGCTAGGGTTGCTGGTATTGCTGCTGTGCTGCTGCTGCTTATGGTGCTGCTATTGCTGTTGTTGCTGCTGCACTGTTGTTGTTGCTGCTGCTGCTGCTGTGATTGCTGCACTTTCTCTACACTCTGCTACACATACTCCTGCTGCTGCTGCTGCTGTGGGAGCATCACTGGCTAGAAAGGGTCCTGTAAGAAGGCCCTGCCTAGCTAGCTATCGATTCAGGTAGCTAGCTACCCAGCTAGCTAGCTACCTAACCTTCTGGCTAGCCGATGACTATCTAGGTAGGTAGCTAGCTAGCCAACCAGCTAGCTAGCCAACTAGCTAGCTAGCTAGCTAATTAGTTATCTACCTATTTCGCTAGCTACCTATTTCGCTAGCTAGCTATCTACCTACCTGCCTAGCTAGCTGGCTAACTGGATAGCTAGCTAGCTAGCTAGCTATCTAGCTAGCGAATGATGACACCAATAGAGGCTTTTCTTTTTTCACAGGCTTCGCCCAGTCGCTGAGGCCCAACCTCAATTCAAAACCCTAAACCCTAAACCCTAAACCCTAAACCCTAAACCCTAAACGCAGAAACCAGTGGCACGGCAATCAGTATAAAAAAATTTTATACCCCAAATCCAACCTTTTACAGGACCGGCTGCTGCAACAGCTAGTGCAGCTAGCTGCAACAGCAGCAGCTAGTGCAGCTACCTGCAGCAGCAGCAGCAGCAGTTGCAGTAGCAGCAGCAGCTAGACGCCGAGTTTTTCTTTGTGGGCATTCTGCAGCAGCAACAGCAACTGCCACCGCAGCAGCAAAAGCAGCAGCAGAAGCAACAACAAAAGCAACGGCAGCAGCAGCAACAGCAGCAGCAGCAGCAGCAACAGCAGCAGCAGCAGCAGCAACAGCAGCAGCTGCAACCCCTCTACTCAAAGCAGCCACAAGACAGAGGCAGACGAGCTTGAGAAACGGATTCTAAAGACCCACAGCAGTAGCTAGTTGGCTAGCTAGCTAGCTAGCTGGCTAGCTAGCTGTCTAACCAGCTAGCTGGCTATCTAGCTAGCTAGCCAGCTAGCTATCTGGCGGGTTAGCTAGCTCGCCAGCTAGCTAAAGCGGAAGTCCGCTTGTTAAAAAAAACAACGGGTTCGGCAGCTGCTGACGCCTTTGGGGCTGGCTAGCTAGCGCTGTAGCTAGCTGTGCAGCTAGCTGCTCAGCTAGCCGTGTAGCTAGCTAGCTGCTCAGCTAGCTGAGTAGCTAGCTACACAGCTAGCCAGTCACTTAGCTGTCTAGCTACTCAACCCCCCTCTCCCCCCATATTCAATTCTGTATCAGCGGGGAGACAGCTAGCGGACTGGCTAGCTGGATAGCTAGCTAGCTAGCTGGCTAGGTAGCTAGCTAGGTGATTGGGTAGCTAGCTAGCTAGCCACCAGTGTCTCTACTATATACAGCTGAAGGCCCCAGCTGCTGAAAAAAGATGCAACGCGGAGACTACTCGCCGCGCTGCACTGCTGGGGACTCGATTTGCTGCTGTTGCTGCTGTTGCTGCTGCTGCTGTTGCTGTTGCTGCTGTTGCTGCTGTTGCTGCTGTTGTTGTTGTTCTTGCTGCTGTTGCTGTTGCTGTTGCTGATTCTGCTGCATCTCTTGCTGCTCCTGCTGCTGGTGCTGCTGGTGCTGTTGCTGCTCCTCTTGCTCCTGCTGCTGCTGCTGCAGTTGCTTGCGTTGTTGACGCTGCAGCCTCAGCAATTGGTGCTGCTGCTGTAGCTGGTGCTGCTGCTGCTGCCGCAGCAGCTGCTGCCGGTGCTTGTGCGCGAGCAGCTGTTTAAACATCATCTGCGGATTTGCTGCTGTTTTCTTCCTGCCCTCTCCCCCAGCAGCAGCAGCAGCAGCAGCAGCAGGGTGTGACGCAAGCTGCAGCAAAGGATGCCTGCGAGAGCGCGAAGTATATCGTTTGCTGCTGGCTATATAAGGGTAAGACGGCAGCCTCTCTGTGCTGCTGCTGCGGTTTCTGCTACCATTCTGCTGCTGCTGCAGCAGCCGCTCCCCAGATTGCAGCCTTCCTGCTGCTGCTGCTGCTGCTGTTGCTGCTGCTGCTGGGTCAGCAGCAGCAGCAGCTGCTGCTGCTGCAGAATCAGACAAAGAATTGCTGTCTTCCCCTCCGGATGAACAGTCGGAGTTGGATCCGCTGCTGCTGCTGCGCTTGCAGCGCGCATGTGCTGCTGCTGCTGCTGCTGCACGTGCTGCTGCTGCACGTGCTGCTGCTGCTGCTGCTGCTGGCGTTTCTGCTGCCTCATCCGCATCCTTTACAGAGGCAGCCCCAAGCAGCACCTCCCCCTCATCGTTTGCCGCTGCTTCATCTTTAGTTGCTGCTGCACTGTCTTGTTCTTTGCTGCTTCTTTCTTTCAAGCTGCCCCTTGGCAGGCCGTTGCTGCTGCTGCTGCTGCTGCTGCTGCTGCTGCTAAAAGACTCGCTAGTGAAAGCAGGCAGCTGCTGCGCCCTCCCCTCTATCCCAGGGCTGATTGCATGTGTTGATTCCTCTGCGTCATCAGCAGCAGCAGCAGCAGCAGCTCCTGCTGCTGCTGCTGCTGCTGGAGCTGTTGCTGCGTCTGGCGATGTCTCTTCGCCAGCCGGCACACGCAGCCTATGAGGCCCACTTACTGTAGCAGCAGCAGCAGCAGCAGCAGCAGCAGCAGCAGCAGAACTTCCATTGTTCAGCTGCACAGCTACATGTGGGCGACGGCCCGGGGTCCTGGCGAAAAGCCACGCCAGAGTTGCTGGCTGCTGCAGCTGCTGCTGCTGCTGCTGCAGCTGCTGCTGCTGCTGCTGCTGTTGCTGCTGCTGCTGCTGCTGCTGTTGCTGCTGCTGCCGTGGAGAGATTGCGGGGCTGGTGGAGCTTGGGGTCCCAGCAGCAGCAGCAGCAGCAGCAGCAGTATTTGCTTCCGGCTGGCTGTCGCTTGTAATTACAGAAGCACAATTTTCTTCATCTGTTGCTGCTGCTGGCGGCGTCGCTGCTGCTGCTGGAGATGCTGTTGCTGCTGGCGTAGGTGCTGCTGCTGCTGCTGCTGCTGGAGATGGTGTTGCTGTTGCTGGAGATGGTGCAGCTGGTGATGCTGCTGCCGGTCCGTCGTCTGCTGCTGCTGCTGTTGCTGCAGGCGACTCTGCAGCAGCAGCAGCAGCAGCAGCAGGTGAGCGGGGGCTGCTGTCTCTTCGCGTCAATGCACCCGTTCGTGGTGTTGCTGCAGCAGCAATCTGCTGCGGCAGCGCAGCAAGGGACCCACCTCCTTGTACGAGGCCTCCTGCTGCTGCCTCCTCTCCTTTCATCTTCGTTGATGCTGCTGCTGCTGCTGCTTTGCGCATCTGCATGCGCTGCCCCTGAGCAGGCGATGTTCCCTGCTGCTGCTGCTGCTGCTGCTGCTGCTGCTGCTGCTTCTTCAGCTCTCTTTCACGCTTTGCCGCTTCCCTCTCCTGAACAGAAACCCTAAACCCTAAACCCTAAACCCTAAACCCTAAACCCTAAAACCCCTCCCACGAAGCAGCCAAACCTACAGGCCGGCAATCAGCAGCAGCAGCAGTTGTTGCTCCTGCTACTACCCCTACTGCTGCTGCCTACATTGAGCATCATCACCATCATAAGCAGCAGCAGCATCAGCAGCAGCAGCAGCAGCACCATCATCAGCAGCAGCATCAGTAGCATGATCAGCAGCAGCATGAGCATCAGCAGCAGCAACAGCAGCACCATCAGCAGCAGCAGCAGCATCATAAACAGCAACAGCAGCATCAGTAGCATGATCAGCAGCAGCATCAGCAACAGCAGCACCATCAATAGCATCAGCAGCAGCAGCATCAGCAGCATCATCAACAGCAGCAGCAGCAGCAGCAGTGAAGGCGTACCTGCGTTTCTTTGATTTCTTTTGTTGTTTGTTCAAACTGCGTATAAAATTGAGCAAACCACTTTAAAGGCTCCGGCCAAATGCAATCAGACTTAGATAAACCTAAAAATAGACGAAGAGTTTCTTGCTGCTGCTCATTTGCTGCTATTGCTGCCTCCAGCTGCAGCACACGCTCCTCTGTACTCTGCACCCGAAATAGCAGCAGCAAATCAAACACAGCCACAAGCAGCAGCAAATCATATTCTAGCTCCTGCTGCAGTAGTTGCACCTCGAACAGCAACGAATCAAACAGTCAAAACTCCTGCTGCTGCAGCAGAAGCAGCAGCAGCAGCAGCAGCAACGACGGCAGCAGCTGCAGCAGCCAGAGCAACAGTAGCAGCCGCAACGACAGCAGCAACAACCACAGCAGCAGCAACAACAGCAGCAACAGCCACAGCAGCAGCAGCAACAGCAATAGCCACAGCAACAGCAGCACTAGCAGCCACACCAGCAACAGCAGCAGCAGCAGCAACAACACAAGCAGCACAAGCAACAGCAGCAGCCACAGCAGCAGCAACAGCAGCACCACCACCAACAACAGCAACAACAACAACAGCAGCAGCAGCAGCAGCAGCAGCAGCAGCAGCAGCGGTAAGGCATGAGCTTTACCTGTACCCAGTGCAGCATTGCTTCAGCAGCAGACGCAAACTGCTGTTTTTTTTCTTGAACAGTCTTACTCCAGAAGCACAGACGCGATTTAATGCCGCTCAAATTACTAAGCTCTAATACATCAGTCTGCAGCAAATGCAGCAGCAGCAGCAGCAGCAGCAGCAATAGCAGCAAATGCAGCAGCAAATACAAATGCAGATGCAGCAACAGCAGTAGCAGCAGTAGAAGCATCACCAACAGCACGTGCACCACCAACTGAACACAGGTGCAGCAGCAGCAGCAGAAGCAGCAGCAGCAGAAGCAGCAGCAGCAGAAGCAGCAGCAGCAGCACAACACCCGAAGCAACAGGAGCAGCAGCAGCTACAGCAGCAACAGCACTAGGTAAAGCAGCAGCAGCTAAATCAGCAGCAGCAAAGACGAACAAGACAATAAAAGAGACACAATAAAAGAGAGAGAGATAATAAAAGAGAGACACACTCCTTTTGCTGCATCAACTGCCTGCAGGGCTTTCATATCTTCTGCTGCTGCTTCATTTTGCTGCGAGACTGTCTCCACCAACACCCTAACAAACAAAATAAATAAATATAAATAAATATAAATATAAATATAAATAAATATAAATATAAATATAAATACATTTAAATAAATAAATAAACTGCATTACAGCAAACAACCGACAGAAAGGAGATAAAGAAAAACAAAAAATAAACAAACAATGATGAAGTGCAGGTGTTGCCTGCGGCTGCCTCTGTAAAGGATGCAGATGAGGCAGCAAAAACGTCAGCAGCAGCAGCAGCAGCACGTGCAGCAGCAGCAGCAGCACTTGCAGCAGCACTTGCAGCAGCAGCAGCAGCAGCACCACGTGCAGCAGCAGTAGCAAAAGTAAAATAATAATAAAATAGTAATAATAATAATAAAACAATAGTAATAAAACAATAGTAATATAATAATATAATAATAATAATAATAATAATAATAATATAATAATAATAATAATAATAATAATAATAATAATAGCTTACTTGAACAAGTTAGTAGATCTGTCTTTGCTGGTGCATGCATTGAGCTGATCGACGAAGTTCTTAAATTTAAAGCCGAGGGCTTCTCTCTTGCCTCTGTTGATTATATTTCCTAGTCTAAGAAGACAATGAAGGATATCTTTAAACCAATCGCTGTTTAAAACACCTTCTAGTGTATGCACACCTCTAAAATATACTTCTAGTTTAGATGTCTTCGCTCGCAGCTCCTCTTCAATTGCATTACGGCTAAAGCAGCACAAACACCAGCAACACAAACAGCAGCAGCACAAGCAGCAGCAGCAGCAACGAGCGGTGGTGAGAGGGAGAGAAGCAAAAGGATAGCAACATAAGCAGCACAAACAGAAACAGCAACAGCAGCAGTATAAGCAGCAGCACAAGCAGCAACAGTAGCACAAGCAGCAACAGCAGCACAAGCAGCAACAGCAGCACAAGCAGCAACAGCAGCAACAGCAGCAACAGCAGCACAAGCAACAACAGCACAAGCAGCAACAGCAGCAGCAGCAACAGCACAAGCACCAACAGCAGCAGCAGCAGCAGCAGCAGCAACAGCAGCAGCAGCAGCAGGATGTTTAGAAGTACTCTAGGAAGAACTTGAGTCTATCGCAGCAGAGGGGGACGTTGTTGAGGAGACAGAAGAAGAGTTGATCAGCAGCAGGCATAGACAGAATTTGTTCTTTTGTTTTGCTTTTATATTCTTCAATTGCTTCTGCTTCCGGCCAGTATAAAACTAAATTCTGTGCTAAGGTTGTATCAATGTTAAGCTGCTGCAGCTGCTGCAGCTGCTGCGCTAGACCCTCAAACTCTGCTGCTGCAGCAAGCTTATGCTTCTTCAAGCATATCTCTACATTCTGACTTGAACGAGCATCTAATATCCCCTTTGGCTTCGTTCTGCTGCTGCTGCTGCTGCTGCTGCTCTCTTCTTTTGACTTGTCGGCTGTCTCCGCATCTTTGTAAAACAATGAAAACACCCTCTTGTAATCCACGCTATACTCAAACGTACGCTGACGCAATATGCTGCTGCTGCTGCTGCTGCTGCTAATGCTGCTGCTAGGCTTCAGCATATCTGCTCCTGCTCCTGCTCCTGCTGCTGGTGCTGCTGGTGTTCCTTCGCCTTCTGCTGCTGCTGCTGTTGCTGCTGCTGTTGTTGCTGCTGTTGGTGGTGCTATAATGCGTGGAGGTAATTCCGATCCTGCTGCGGACTCCCCTGCTGCTGCTGCTGCTGTTGCTGCTGCTGTTGCTGCTGCTGCTGCTGCTGCTGGTTCTGGGGAGGTGCAGCAGCTGTCGTTGTCTAATAAAAGACTTCCTGTGGGGCTACCGCAGCTTCGAGCTCGGCATAGAGGGAGATCAAAGCTAAGCGACCGATTGATAGGAGACAGTGCTTCTTGCTGCTGCTGCTGCTGCTGCTGCTCCTGCTGCTCCTGCTGCGGGGGTGTGGTGTTGTAGCGGTCTAACAAACCATCGAAGAGAGTGCCGGTTAACTAAATAAACAAAATAAAAAAATAAACAAAATTAAAAAATAAACAAAAGACAAAAACAAACAAAAAATAAATACATCAAACTGGGGCTGATGCATGCAGATACAAACAGCTGGTAGCTAGCTAGCTATCTATTGCTAGCTAGCAGTTAGCTAGCTGCGAGCTAGCTGCTAGCTAGCTAGCTAACAAGCAGAGACAAACAAACAGAGACAAACAGAGGCAAACAGAGACAAATAAACAAATAAATAGACAAATAAATAAATAAATAAATAAACTAAATAAATAAATAAACAAATAAACAAATAAATAAATAAACTCTTACTTGCTCTGCTCTTAATAGAGCCCACTGCAAGCGTGTTGCTGCTGTTAAACCTTCAGGAGGAAGCGGAAGCTGCTCTTGCGGCAGCACATAGACAGGGCCCCCCATCTTAGCTTTGCTGCCTGGGGGGCCCCCCTTTCCTGGTGGCCCTGCAGCAGATGCAGCAGCAGCAGCAGCAGCAGCAGATGTAGCAGCAGCAATTCGAGTCGCAACTTTCTCATATTAACCCCAAAATAAATACAAACAGCAAAAAGACAAAATAAAAAAAATAAATAAATAAATTCGACCTTCATTAACAAACAGCAAACAAAAATAACAACATATCTATATCTGTCTATCTATCTGTCTGTCTGTCTAGCTAGCTAGCTAGCTAGCTAGCTAGCTAACATAGGCCCAAGCCTCACCTCCTTTCTTCCCACCAGGTGGTGGGGGCCCCCTTCCTGGGGGCCCCTTTCCTCCTGGAGGCGGCGGCGCCTTCCCCCGTCCAGGGGGGGGCCCCGGGGGGGCCCCCTTAGCCCCCGGTGGGGGCCCCGGGGGGGCCCCCTTGACACCCGGTGGGGGCCCCGGGGGTACCCCTTTAGCCCCAGGGGGGGGCCCCGGGGGTACCCCCTTAGCC